TCAAAACTTATAATTTTCGGCTATAGCATGATTATATGCTATATAATATAATAAACCTATAATAGTATCATTCTTTCAATTATTTGAAGAGAAAACCGAAAAAATCTATTTTCGGTCTATAACAATTTTGAAAACAAAATTGAAAATTGAATTAAATCTATTATTAATCGATGATGCATCATTTCCTAATGCTTAAACTTTATATCAACCACGATAAATAGAACGTAATATTCTCTCAAAAATTTGATTCCCAAAGCAAAAATTGAAATTCAAACGTAAGAAATGGTTCAAAACTAATAACCCGATTTAAATGAATTTTTATCAAAATATTCAATCCGTTTCAAATCAAGTTATTTTATATTAATTACACATGTACAAGCCATTTTTAGAATATACAATTTAATTTGAATTCAATATGTATTTAGAAAGCGGGTTATCATTCTCAAATACTTTTATAAATTAAGCTTATAAACAAAAAAATGGATTCATGCTTGGAAGACCCAATTTTAGAGAATTATATCATTAAAGCAACCGATCGGTACTGGCGCTTTCTCAAAGGTATTCCTAGCAATCCATAAGCCTACAGGATTTAAAGTTTCAATAAAAGTTATACCAAATACTCTAATACTGATGATATTAAACAAAAATTATGATTAAGAGAGAAATTGATATTATGCGCTTGCTTAATCATCCGTATATTTGCGATCTTTGAAACAGTCGAATCTCAACATTACATGTACTTAGTTATGGAGTACATTATAAACGGCACTTTGCTTAATATATCAAATGACCGCGGAGCTTTAAAGGAGGATGAAGCGCAAACATTTTTGCCCAATTGCAATAGCCATAAAATCAATGCAAAGTACTGCAACGTGGCACACAGAGATATTAAAACTGAAAACATACTACTTGACATAAATAACAATATAAGAATTATCGATTTTGGCCTCAGTAATACTCCAACAGGAGACGATAAAGCTTCTTCAGACGCAATGTGGTTCTCCAGCATATGCCTCGCCAGAGATGATTATGGGGCAACAATATACACTTTTCGTCAGACGTTTGGAGCTGCGGAATATTGTTGTACGCAATGGTTCTTGAAACATTACCATACTTTGATGAAAACATTTCAAAACTTGCACAGAAGAATTGTTTAAGGATATAGAGCTTCCGATTCACTTTAACCCCAATTGCCGAGATTTGATTACCCGCAATGCTTACAAAGAATCCAAGGGAAAGAATAAATATCGATCAGATGGCTGCACATCCATTTATTTGCTGAGCAAGTCCAGTTTCATTATAAGAGTATTTTCAACTTTCGAGATGAACGAAGAACTTGCAGCTTATAAGCTTAGCATGATGGAAATGGAATTTGACAATGTTAAAAAAAACCTTAGCATGGGAGTTATGAACCAAGGAACCGTATCTTTTGATAATAAGAAGAGAGTACATGATCTCAGTATTTAGCAACAAAGCCACCAAAAACAATGTATATGCTAGAAACGCTTCTCTGCAAGGTATTGCAGTTATATCTGCTTTGCCACGCTTACATGAAGTAACAAATGGCTTCTTCTTTCAAGAAGAGGGCAAATTCCATCAACGAAAGAACAGCCAAACTTATATCTAGAAGAAAAACAGAATCGTCGTTCTCTTCTTATTGTTTAAATTAAATATTGTTTTTTTATGTTACAAAAAATAGATTAACATGATACAAGTTTTTACTCTAATTAATGCACTCACAAACTGCATTTTCATCAATTCGATCAAGCAAATCGATGAAAATGTAAACAAAAAATTTCAAATCTAAAAAAGTTAATCTATGAAATACACCGCTAGTATTCTATACAAAGCGTCAAAGTCAGTTGATTTCGGAGATTATTTCCAGCAATGAAGTAATTTGACGGTAGAAAAATTTCAAACATTTCTTAACTCTATTTTCTGGTCGTAGCATTCTTGACATTGTTTATTGCTCTATTTTTGCCATTTGATGCCTTCTTTCAAACTATCTCGTTGGAGTTGTAATTGGTCTCTTGCTTTTCCAATAATATAGTAGATGAGGAATGTAGTGCTTCATTCTGATGTAATGATATCTTTTCAAATTGTGCTTATAATTTCATATATTTTTTGTTTCCATTTCCTTCATGGACTCATATCTGGAAACGTGAATAGCTATTTCATCTTGAGAACCCGAAACATTTAGTTCCGAAATCGACTTTACATCTTGTTTAAACATGTCATTATATGATTTCATCTTGGCCTCATAAATTTTTCTTTGATTTAGACAGAGTATTTTCACGAATTTTCTTTATATTTATCTTTGGGGATTGTTTTAATTAATGCGTCGTTCCTTCGATGTGTATTTGTAATAATATTTTCTTTTGGTTTACTGAAATATCTCGTACAAAATTAGGAACAAGAACAATTTTCTCAAGATCACTCTCAGATGCATCCAAAGCTCCCGATGTTAGCTCGCTTTTGAACTTTGTCATAGTATTCATGATTTTTTCGGAAAACAGAGATTTTTGCGAAATCTGAGTTAGGCTGACCTTTCAAAACGTATTTTTTGTTTCTCTTGGAGCTTTTGTAGGATTGCTTGCCTCTTTGGAGGCGAGATTTTCAATCAACTTTTTCCATTTACAAAGTAAAAAAATGTAAAGAAAGTGCTAAACGCACAGTATTCATTTTCACTCCAGTCAACAATTAAGATGAAAGACCCAATTCAACATCCAAATGCTTCGGAGGAACTTGTTCAATTTTTTTGAAAGGAATTGTGTGCTATGAAGTCAAAATTATGCCACAGTTTATTATAACTCTTCTTAAAGAACAGATTTATTAAAAGGAAAGTACATTCACTATTTTGACCAAAATTTTAAATTTTTCATGGGGTTGTAAATCTTATAATAACTAGATGAATAAGGAATAAATCCCCAGTATGATGTGCATCATTATATTAAACACTATATGTAAGGCCGGTGATTCTATTAACACTTATGAAGATCTATAGTTATTTTGTTAGCAGAGTTAAATTTGATAATTTCCAAAACTCTTATATTTCAAAATTAAAGTGTGCGAATGCATTTAAATGAGAGCAAAAAAGAGAATGATGCTGTTAAACTAGGTGTTAATTTCCAATTATTTCGCATCAACAAGAACTACCCAGTAAATTCGGCTATCTTTCTTTGCAATTAATTTTCTATTTTTACATATATTTATAATGGTTAGGGGTTTGAAGAAAAGTTACTAGAGAATTATTGATTTTTGAAATAATGCAGAATTTTAGCTTGAAGAAATCATTAATTTATGAGCTCCAAATTGCTAACCATGACGAAAGAATCATTAAATTTGCTACAATTAAATACATTTATTGCCGAAGGTTAAGATTATGAAATTAAAGTTTGAAATATTGCCTTTGAAATAAAAATTTAAAAATTTGATTATATAATCATGATAATATATTATTGAAATTAAAAGAAAATATTTTAAAACTGCATTCAAATATTTTTGAATGTCTTATCTTTATAAAATATTAAAGATAGCTTGATTTTATCATCATTAGTTGTTATCAAGTTTTCTTTCTTTTGATGAACAACAGTAAATGATTTGTTAATACATTGTCTTTTCCTTTTTCGCAGCAAAATCAAAAAGTTATGATGAATCTTGTACTCAATTTTGAAACTCTCTGATTTACAAGTAACATCCTTTGGAAAAGCAGTCCTATTCTGTTTTTCAAGATATTTTAAAGCGCCTATTTCATACAATGTGCAGATCTATTCGAAATTGCAAGAACTCTCAAGAAAAATGCAGCAGCAGAAGATTTCCAAGTTTCTAGCATCAAAAATTTACAACCTTAATAACACAGTTAAAGAGAAGCTCGATAAGAAATAATTTAACCATAAAGCTGGAAACTATTCGATATCTACTATTGGATATAATAAAAAGTTAATTGTAACATATTTTAACATGCTATTTTGCTGACTCTGTTCGCATTATATTACCATATATATCTTTTTTGAAATCTAAAAAAATTTTACGATTTTAACCATGTGTTTGTTGAAATCATATATCAATCTTAGCTAAAGTATAGTTTAATGAGTCTGTCACCAAGCTAATGTATGAATTTTCAAAATGTCAATATGTTATTTTTTCTGTATATTCCGCCATAATTTCATGTATTATACTTTTCAACTATTATTTAATATTTTTATCGATTTAAATATATGATAAGATGCTTAGTTCTCCGGAAAACGATTTTTAATCACAATTTTAACTTTCCAAAAGAATTCGAAAATAAAAATTCCTCTCAATTTTCTAATATTCTAACCTAGCCAAATCTCTTAGCCAAATTTTTTTTGGCCCGTATAAATATTGTTAGGCACTATATAGGGATGCTATTTATCCTATTTTCATCCCTATTTTACTGTTATCGCCTAGTGAATGTACCCTTTTTAAAAGGTTGATAAAATTTATAGATCGTAATGTCATTTTTCAATTTTTTTGAGGCAGTGTTTGAAAATGAATATTACTGACTTTCAGAACGAAAGTCATTTATATGTTTATTCAGACATCAAAGCAACATTCGTCACTGACTTTATTTTCGCAGCCTTTTCATTATTTTCGGCATCATTTAATTTTTACTATTTACAATTCGTCAACCTGCGAAGAGAAGGGCGAGGTTGAAGGTCAGTTCGAGGCACAAATCTTCATAACAATTACAGCGGTTTTCTGCAAAGGCTTGGGGTTTATTTATTACTGGCTTATTTTTGGCCATAAGAACGCTAAACCTGGCAATCATGATTTCTGGGATCGGTACTCTGTCCTTCCAGCGGTATTCCCAGGTTATGTAAAGCTATTTGCCTATTGCTTTATTTTCTTTTCCTGGTGCTCCGTTTGTTTTGACTCCCCTTGAAAAAGATTCAGTTAATTTTTTACTCAAGAAGCAAATGGGTATTGATGACTTTGATTTCCTTGTTTGCGTATTTTTCACGATCTCAATTATTTGTATGCTTACATGCAATCCGGAAACATTCCACAAGGTAGAGGCTACAATAGCCATTTTACGTGATCTTATTATCTTCTTCTTATTCTCACTTTACTTAAAAGAATTTTCAAACTTTTCGAAGAGCCTTGCCCAGGATGGAGCCTCTCCAGAAAAAATTACTCTTTATCTGTATCACGCCGCTCATCGTTTCTCTCATTATTCGTCCATAAGTATTGGAATTTACACTTATGGATTTATCCACCAAATCATGACAAGAGAAGTGATTTGGCTACAACTTAATTTAATCATATACCTAATAGAAATACTCATAACTGAAATTGTTCCAATTGGTTCTATTGGCATTACAAGACTCACAGGATCAATGCAGAAAACTGCAAAGAGTGAGGATGTAGCACAGTTCCTTGCTATTAGTTAAACTTTTTTATTAATAAATCTTATGTTATTTTTTTTATTATTAAATTCAAAGTTTTTTTTTATCATCAAATATTACATAAATCGTCCATATAATTAAGTTGATGTGGTTAAGATTCGATCTCATTGTTGATTATTCATTTCACATTTCAAATAAGTAACGCGAAACATGTAAGACGCTGACATATAAAAGCTGGAATGATAGCCAATAATTTAGTACAAATAGGCAAACCCAAATTTTAGCTAAAAAGTGACAGGAAAAAAAACGTTTAGTATTAAAAAAAAGACCGATGAGAAGCTTCGTTCGAAATATAGAGGGACTGAGAATGCGCAACCATTCTCAGGGAATATTGGATGCTATTCCCCGTTCCCTCTGTATGGAAATTGAGGTTTTCAAAGGGAGTTAAAATAATATCAAATTTATACTAATTTACTTCAAATACAAAAGTATTTGACAGCTAAAATTAGTTACTTTAGCAAGCCTATCAATACCCTTTTACATTATTGTTACTTTTTCGGAATAAAAGTAAAAACAAATTTATCTCAATTTACTTCAAAAATACAAAAGTATTTGACAGCTAAAATTAGTTACTTTTAGCAAGCCTATCAATACCAACTTTTACAGAATTATTGCTACTTTTTCGAAATAAAAGTAAAAAACAATTTATACTATTTACTTCAAAATACAAAAGTATTTTGACAGCTAAAATTAAGTTACTTTAGCAAGCCTATCAATACCCTTTTACGAATTATTGCTACTTTTTCGAAATAAAGTAAAAACAAATTTATAACCTAATTTACTTCAAAATACAAAAGTATTTGACAGCTAAAATTAGTTACTTTAGCAAGCCTATCAATACCTTTTACGATTATTGCTACTTTTTCGAAATAAAATAAATTTATTATCAAAAACCTTTTTTTTTTCTTAGTAAAAATAAAATGTTATTTTATATCAAGTTTTATTCATAAATTTTATAATGTTGTATTTT